AGATATTGATAGTATAGATAACAATTGGAGAATGGGAAGATTTAATCTTCAAAGAATAAATTGTAGAAGTGAAAATTCGAAAGGTGTTTACTGTTTACAATATGATGACCAAAAAATTGTCTCTGGTCTTAGAGACAATACAATTAAAATTTGGGACAGAAGTACATTGCAGTGCATTAAAGTCTTAACAGGACACACTGGTTCTGTTTTATGTTTACAGTATGATGATAAAGCAATAATATCTGGTTCCTCTGATAGCACTGTGAGAGTTTGGGATGCTAATACTGGAGAAATGGTTAATACATTGATACATCATTGTGAAGCAGTCCTACATCTCAGATTTAATAATGGCATGATGGTCACTTGTTCAAAGGTTAATCAATTTTTTTTTATCTACTTTATGTTCTTTAAATTAAACATCAGTTTTAAGTAGATTTTGAATTGAAATTTTTTATCTATTTTATGTTTTTTAAATTACTATTTGTTAATTATATTTAGGATCGTTCAATTGCTGTATGGGATATGACATCACAAACGGAAATTGCATTAAGAAGAGTATTAGTGGGGCATAGGGCAGCAGTAAATGTTGTTGATTTTGATGAAAAATATATCGTTTCTGCTAGTGGTGATAGGACTATTAAAGTATGGAAAACATCTACTTGCGAATTTGTGCGAACATTAAATGGACACAAGCGGGGTATAGCGTGTTTGCAATATAAGGACTGCTTAGTAGTTAGTGGTAGCAGTGATAATACAATCAGATTATGGGATATTGAATGTGGTGCGTGCTTACGCGTTTTAGAAGGACACGACGAATTAGTCAGATGTATCAGATTTGATAGCAAGCACATAGTTAGTGGAGCTTATGATGGGTATGTATAAAAATAGTTTTATTGTATCTTGTATCTTACACTACTATAATAACTTTATATTTATTTTGTGTTACAGAAAAATTAAAGTATGGGATTTAGTTGCTGCACTAGATCCACGTGCTCTAACTAACTCATTGTGCATACGTACATTAGTGGTGAGATATTTTATATATTTTATTTTATTTTATTTTGTTTTATATCAAAAGATTTTAATATTAACGATATATATCTGCAATATAGGAACATACAGGTCGTGTATTTCGTCTTCAGTTCGATGAGTTTCAAATAGTATCGTCATCGCATGATGATACAATATTAATATGGGATTTTCTGAACTTTAATCCATCAAATGGATCTGTATCTTGTGGGCCTACAACAATAAATGCATCAGGTGTGAATCAATCTGATACTAGATCTCCATCTCGTAAGTACGATAAGAAAGATCTTTGTTTTATGTACTTGATATTTTCTAACATTATAAATTATTTGTATAGCATTCGAGTGACGCATCCCTATGAATATTCCTTCATTGTGATATAATTGTAAGTTTAATATGTTATTTAAAATAAAAGACATAAATTTATGTAGTTTATGAATTTTTTTCGGAATTAAAATTTCTTGCTTGTTATACTTCATGATATATTAAATTTGAATATTTTTTTCAGACAAGTGATTAGTGAATGAGTTCAATGTGTTCACGGTAGTGTACGCAGAAAATGAAGAATCAGTGTTCAGTGTGAACAGCGCCTAAAAAAAAAAACAGAATCTCAGAAATACACACGGTCATTGATTTTTGTTTATTGTTTGCTGTGAAAAGCAAAAGTAATTCTCTAAAATAGGATGTATATGGGGTGATACGAATTAATTTATATGCGCTTGACGCACTGCGTTTAGTAACGAACAGTATAATTAAAATCGCATAAATACATCCCATGGATGTAAACAATTCTTTGCTTTGGCCATATTTGGAATTCTTCTACGCTCTATGACATGATAGAAGTTGACCACTTTCCTACTACTATGAAAAAAAGACTTACGTAAAGAAAATGAAAACGTTTTTAGGCTGGATACACTTAATAAGATGTTAGTTGTATTATAGTAAATTAATAATTTTTTTTTTAAATGTAATTAATTTATAGTAAGGAGATTGTAAAATGCCGTTTGATTGGAGTACTTATCTGGTGTGAATGTGAATATTCAAGTCTTGATATGTGGAAAGATTATTATACCTATCATATTTCATTATCTTTTAAATCTAGCTAATGTGAATTACTATACCCATGTTTAGTATTATAGATGTACAGCCGTTAATCGAGAACATAGTAGTTTCCATGGACATTAATTTTATGAAATTTATATTATATATTGAAAAGTAAATGGAAAGCTAATAATCTCTGCACAGTCATTGATAAAATATCATTTGCATTTAAAATATAAAGTTTTGTTGTACCGAGCTGTAAATATTAATTCATAAAGCAGCAGTATAATGACTCTGAGGTAATCTTAATTGTTGTGAAAGAATTATTGTGTTTTGACTAATGATCTCGGATGTTTCAACTTTTGTTTAAGCTACATCACACCGTTTCAATTATAAATTATAAGTGTGCTCTGAAAAATATTATACGAGTTAAAATATAATTGTCATTTTCTAGATTTTATAAATGCTACCAAGGACATTATTTTTATTCCTACGTTAGTAGTAGTACTAAAAAATATGTTTATTTATTGGTATACTGAACAATAGAATAAACACGGTATCTTCTCAAAATTGTCACAAAATAGTAATATATATATAAATATATATACATATATATTTCAGTAAATATTGCGACAATGACTCAGATATTTTGATCACATTGAAAAATTAAAAGCCAAGCTTACAAATATGTAATCCTCGATATTGATTTCAATATATATACTTTAAATTTTATATAACATAGATTTTGCATGAGAAATAAACTGTGAATATGTGCTTAAAAAAAGAAGAAAAAAATCTATTAGAGATAAAAATGTGAAGTTACTTCACTTTTGCATTACATAAATAACAGAAAGTATATTAAGTAGTACTTGTACATTATAATATTAATATTATACAAATTTTTACATTAAAGGGGAAAAAAATTATGCAAAATTATGAACTGCATGTAGTCAAGTTGGATACAAAGAATTGTGATTTTTAAGCTAGAATGATGGCATGAAAAATTTTCTATAACTTTACGGTATGTATATATGGGACTCCAGTGCAAATATTACTTTTGTAGTATGCCGCATGTTCTTAATTCTTGAAATTTAATGAAAAGCACAATAGAGAAAAATAGCATAATTGTGACAGTTATAATATAATCTCTTTATAAGCACATACTTCATTATACTACAGCTATCTAAATACGTACATATACAGGTAGTAAAATTATATATTGCTGTTTCTTGTGTTCCACTTTGGAATGTAAAAATATACGTATATATATTTTTTATTTAGATTGGGGTCTTAAAATACTTTAGTGAATAAATACATTAAAGTATGTAAAATTTTCATTATACAAAATTGTTTCATAGTATTGTGATATTTACTTAAGAATGAAAAATACAGTTCTAAAATGTTTAATTTCATGATGAGCGACAATGTGTCTTAACCATAACTTAGTTTTGATCATAATGTAACTGGTACATTTGTTCAAAATAATATTATGACAGAAATATCTTTAAGAGAACATTGTGATGTTTATTGTTAATATTGATATAAAATTTCATGTATGAAATTAGTTACGCAAAAATAACATGAAGGCTGTGGAACTTGAAATATAATACCTATGCAAGAAGATGCAATTTTAATGGAAAAAAAATATCCATCATTATCCCTTAAATTTAACATACTTTTGTCAAAATCAAATTGTAATTAATAGAAAATTTATTTTAAAATATTATTACATCTTTTTAAGAATGTTGAAGCCTTAACCCCTTTGAATTTAAACGAACAATGTTTACTAATGAAAATTTTAGTAATTAGTACTAATGATCAAAGCTATTGATAAAATTAATATTCGCAAAAATGGATAACATCTTTTAGTCAATCTTTTACTTGCATTTTAATCCTTTTCCATTAAAACTAGTATTACACGGTAAAGTTCCTGATAAATTTTATCAGATTATTATAATTTTCATTGTTTCAGATTTTAAAAAGAGTCTACTCATAAAATTAGAAAAGAATGTATTTTGTATATATTTGAAGTCAATGTATTTTTTTTATATAACAATATGGAATGATGCATTAGTTCATCAAAGATAAAGTTTTGCAATATATTATTAACACGTAGAAATTACTTTGGCAAAAGAGAAGGCCCCAATCTGAATGTACAAAATATCATAACACAATGCTACAGAATATGCAAAAATTAATGCATAATCGGTCACAAATCATCATTAACAATTTTTTTCAAATTTTTTTTTTATTTTACATTACAGAAAAACTCAATTTAAGGCAAAAAATATGTAACGAGTATCAAAAATATTTATGTATAACATTGATAAAGAGAAAATAATGATTATATCTAATACTATTCTCCTTTTATTTGAAATATTGAGAAGTTCAAAGTATTCAACAAGTTTTATAGTTCTTGCTAATTGTGACTTGCAAATTTTTATTTTTATAATGAACATTTTATAATTACTTCTTATTTTTTATTTATGAGATACATCTAAAACATAGAATAATCTTTGTACAAAATATTGAAAAAATTTTGTAAAATTATCCTTTATGACGGAATTATTTGAAAAAAAATGAATTAGTAATTTTTAGGTTTTCAATATTATACTGAAAAATACTGTAATTTCTACTATGAAATTTCATTCTTTGTTATTTCGCGTAACGTGAATATAAGTATTGAATTTTTATTGTTTATAATTTATGCTAGACAAAGAAGATGATGAACAACAAAGTTAATGTTTTCAAATTAACTGCTGGTTGAGTTATGAAATCAAATTAAACGTATTTTAACGTAATTTAATACTATTATCCGTAATTTTCACAATTAATATGGTGAAAATTCGGCTTAACTTCCGTCTTTATATAACAAAGGGTTATGAATATTTTTTCTTTTGTTAATAAAGGTGGCGTTGTTGACGCTTCCGACGTAGAAAACGTCGCTTCTACATAACATGTTGTGGCAGCCGAGATTAAAGCATGTGATCCTGCCTTCATTGTAGATAATACAAAGCTGCGAAAATGGCGGACGAACAGGTGAGTTACCGATCAAAATAACGTGCAAACCTCAAAATGCTGTAGAGTTATTTACGATGAAGTGATTTTGAAAATCGTGTGATAAGCCAGCCGGTGGTAAATCTGTTGCAAGTTATGTGGTTTCGACGTGTGTCCCAAACATTTTGCTGCCGGGAAACTTAAGTATTCTTGGAAGCTACGTTGTTTGTTGCCGGACCACAGTGATTATTTTGTCGCACTGTCAATGAAAATGCAATTATAAACTGAAAGATTTTTTCGCTTTAGCTTTACTGACATCTTATTATACAAATAAAACCATGTAGCCGATATGTAAAACTTTAATCTTGTTTTCGTAAATAGTATTTTGTGCAGATATAATTCTAAAGTTTCAGAAGATAATTAATGGATGAAAATATCACCTAAATCGTGAATTTTATGTTTGAATATTATTATTTGACAAAAATTTCAATTGGTTCTGTTGTACTTGTATAAAATTATTGTCTGAAATTACTTTAAAAATATGGCATAACCTATCCACTTTTATTTTGCAACATAAACTAAGATGTTTTTTTCTGTTATTTTGATATATTAACTTATACCTATTTTGTTAGTTACAAATGTTTTTTATTAATCGCGATCTCTCGATTGAATTAAAGATAATACAAAAATACTCTAAATACACACACTTTTACAAATATGCATTTGTAATTTTTTAAGCAAGTGTTAGTTTGAAATTCCGTTAATTATTAATACTTATTATATATTTACAAAATTTAAATAAATGTATAATCTTGAAATGTTTAAAAATTAAAAACATCAATTATCGTTAATTTTATGGTAAAAAATAAAGTTGACAAGTTCCATTTAACTTTTTCTTATTTGTTTAAAAAAATCTACAAATTTATGGTAAATAATAAAAATAATATGTAATAATTAGTTTAATATTTATTAATATTTCTATGCATCTTTTTTTAATTTTAATTTTTGATTTTTTTTTAATAATAATCATGTTTGATGATAATGTTTAATAAGAAAATTATATTATAAATAAACGATATAATTTTAAAATACTGTTTATTTGTTATGATATAATTAAAGAATATTTAAATGTTAATTTTTATATATCAAAAATAAATAAAATTGTATTAAGTATAAAAAAATATCCAATTGAAACAAGTGTTTAAATTTATTAAAAAATCTGAAAAGTGAAATGACGTTTTTGAGATATGTAAACTAAAAATAACTACATGGAAATATTGTTATCTGTGATGAATTATATCACTAAGAATGGATCACATACAGGAAGTACGGCAGCTGGAGTTGCTATGCAAGCAGTTGTATGAATCACAAGATTCTACACATCGTGCAGAGGCTGAAAAAGCACTTGTTGCTTTTCAAAATGCTCCAGATACGCTTACAAAGTGCCAGCTCCTACTTGATCGAGGAGATTCTCCGTATGCTCAATTATTGGCAGCCACTACTTTGACAAAATTAGTTTCCCGTTCATCAGGACTTAGTTTACAACAGAGGCTTGACATACGTAAGTGTATTTATTCTTTCATGAAGCAAAATAATCAAAGACAATTAAATCTAATATCTGTAATTTTATTTTAGGAAATTATATTCTGAATTACTTAGCAACTCAACCAAAGTTACCAAACTTTGTAATACAAGCTCTGGTTACATTGTTTGCCAGGATATCAAAGTTTGGTTGGTTTGATATTGATAAAGATAGAAGTGTGGTCAGTGATGTAACAAAGTTTCTTCAGGTTAGTTATTATTTTTTTAGTTTTTGAATGTTTATCTTTTATAATTATATTATTTTAATGCAATATACAGGGATCAGTGGAGCACTGTATGATAGGAGTCCAATTACTTTCTCAATTAACGTGTGAAATGAATCAAGTGTCAGATGCAGACGCAAACAGATCTATTACAAAGCATAGAAAAATTGCCAGTCACTTCAGAGATACTCAACTTTTTGAAATATTTAGGTTATCATATACTTTATTAAGTACAGCTCGAGAAAATTGTAAAAATTTAAATTTTAATGATGAAGCACAGGTATGTCTTTTATTCCTTTTTTTCTCTATTTATAATAAAATTTTAAATTATATATATATATATATATATATTATTATTACTTTTTCTTATTTAGCATGGTCTGATCAGACAACTTTTAAAGCTAGCACAAAATTGTTTGACATTTGACTTTATTGGAACATCAACAGATGAAAGTTCTGATGATCTCAGTACAGTACAAATTCCAACTTGTTGGAGACCTGTATTTTTGGATTTTACATCACTGAAACTTTTCTTTGATTTATATCATAGTTTACCTAACTCATTATCATCTTTGGCCCTTTCATGTTTGGTCCAAATAGCATCTGTGAGAAGGAGTTTATTTTCAAACCCAGAAAGGGCACAATTTTTAACACACTTAGTTAGTGGTATAAAACACATACTACAGAATCCCCAAGGTCTCAGTGATCCTGAGAATTACCATGAATTTTGTAGACTATTATCAAGGTTGAAAAGCAATTTCCAACTTGGAGAATTGGTTTTAGTCAAAGATTATCCTGAAGCTATACAATTAATTGCAAAATTTACAATACAAAGTTTACAGATGTGGCAATTTGCACCGAACAGTTTACATTATTTATTAACTTTGTGGCAAAGAATGGTGTCTTCTATGCCTTATGTAAAGGCAGGTGATCCACATCTATTAAATACATATACACCAGAAATTGTGAATGCATATATCACTTCAAGACTCGAATCAGTTGCAATAGTAGTTAGGGAAGGTTTAGAAGACCCACTTGATGATTTAGGAATAGTTCATCAACAACTGGAGCAAATATCTGTAATTGTGAGGTGTGAATATCAAAAGACATGTACTTTGTTAGTGCAACTTTTTGATCAAGCTGCTAGGACATACCAAGAATTAATGACACAAACCGCATCTCCGACACAACAAATGGACATCACTATACAAGAAGGTCAATTGACCTGGCTTGTATATATCATAGGTAAGAAAATTTGTAAATTAACGAATACAGAAAAATAAAAACATGTTAAACGTGAATTGTTGATATTTAAAAAATAGGTGGTGTTATTGGTGGAAAAATAACATTTAACAGCAATGAAGAGTATGATGCAATGGATGGTGAATTGGTTTGCAGAGTACTCCAATTGATGAATTTAACTGATTCAAGACTTGCACAAGGTGGCTGTGAAAAATTGGAGTTAGCAATGTTGAGCTTCTTTGAACAATTTCGTAAGGTGTATGTAGGTGATCAAGTTCAAAAAAATTCTAAAGTATATAGAAGACTGTCAGATGTTTTAGGAGTTAATGATGAATCTATGGTTCTTGGTATTCTTATTCGAAAAATGTAAGTAAAAAGGATACTTGCCCAGAGATTATTTGAATTATTTGAGGACTTAAAATCTTAATCTTGCATTTTCAGAATAACAAATCTGAAATATTGGGGTCGTAGTAAACAAATTATTTCGAAAACATTACAATTATTAAATGATTTATCTGTGGGATATAGTTGTGTCCGTAAACTTGTAAAATTAGAAGAAGTACAATTTATGCTCAATAATCACACAGTATGTATAAAATTTATTTACAAAAAGTTAGAAACGAAACACCATATCTTTTTTTTCTTTTATTAACAGAGAGAGCATTTTCCATTTTTGGGAAACAATGTTGCTGTAACAGAAATGCGCTGTAGATCAATGTTCTACACATCCTTGGGTAGATTATTAATGGTAGATCTAGGAGAAGATGAGGAAAGGTTTCATACATTTATGTTACCTTTAACAAGTATGAAAATTATTTTGTATCCAGAATTCTAGTAACATATTTATTTAATATTTATATTTGTATTTTTCACTTATAGATGCATTTGAAAGTTTAGGACAGTTAATTGGTCCTGCTGATCCATCACTTTTTGCAGCAGAAGAAGCAAAAAAAGCACTCATTGGTTTAGCAAGAGATTTAAGAGGTTTAGCTTATGCATTCAATACAAAAACTTCTTATATGATGCTCTTTGATTGGATGTATCCTTTTTTAAAAATATGATTTGATAAATGGTTAATAGAAAGATAAATAAATAAAAGAATTTGCATACATCTTAAGTAAAAGAATAAATGTTGATACATATAAAATACATATAATATACCTTAATTTATATATAGTTATCCCAATTATACACCGATTTTATTACACGCTGTGGAATTGTGGCATTATGAGCCACAAGTTACTACACCCGTCCTAAAATTTTTTGCTGAATTAGTACAAAATAGAAGTCAACGATTACAGTTTGATGCATCTTCTCCAAATGGAATTTTATTATTTCGTGAAGCTAGTAAAGTAATATGTAGTTATGGTAATCGTATATTAAACGTTGAAGTTCCAAAGGATCAAATGTACCCCTTAAAACTTAAAGGGATAAGTATATGCTTCAGTATGTTAAAGGCAGCTTTATGTGGAAGTTACGTAAATTTTGGTGTGTTCAGATTATATGGTGATGAAGCATTGGATAATGCGCTTAATACATTTGTAAAATTACTTTTTAGTATACCACAAAGTGATTTATTGGTATGCATTAGTTAACTTATTTAAATGTCATTTAAAAGATATGAAGACAATTGTTTTGCAATTTAACATTGTTTCTTTCTTTTTTGTAGGATTATCCAAAACTATCTACGACATATTTTGTGTTACTCGAATGTTTGGCTCAGGATCACATGGTTTTTCTTTCTACTTTGGAACCTAGAGTATTCTTATACATATTATCAAGCATCAGTGAAGGCCTTACAGCACTAGGTGCGCAAAAAGACTCCTATACAGGTCTGTGCGGCTGATTCTATTTTATTATCATTCTCTTATCCTCTATGCCATGCAACAGATTATAAGACCTAAATCGTTTAGAATTCCTTTCTTATAAGAAAATGTTTGTTGAATATTTCGTATTCTATTTCTATAAAAATTAATAAACTATAAATAACTGAAGTATGGTAGAGATTTCAACTGCAATTAATCACACGATTTAATAGTGTTTTTACTGGACCTCCTTTTTTATTAAAAATATACATAAATTTTATTTCATGCATGTATGAATTTTTATTGGACGATGTCAATACAATTTTATGATTATCAATGTAAAGTATAAAAAGTCGGAAAAGATATTAGTTAATAAGAATGTTTCATTTTGTTTATGTTTACTTGCTTTTTGCATTGTTGCTTGGAATGTAAATCTGCATTTAGGTATTAGTTATTGCTATAGTTTCAAAGTTACAGAAACAAATGTATGCTGAGTAATTTTTATGCATATAAGGAGAATGATTCAATCACCATAATCAATATAGGCAATGAGAGGATTGGAGTTTGTAGAATCTAGACCCTGATTGCTAATTGTTCTATTGCCTTTCTTTTTCTTCTTTCGTTCTCAAATTTTTATTCCTATTTTTAATATTGTATTTGATAATAATATTGTATTAAACAATTCATGAATTCTTTATTATATTATAGTGGGTCTAGCACACATAGTCAGCCGCACAGCTGGCATGCTACTAAAATATATTACTATTTATAGTTATAAGTTTTTAAGTTACTAATTTACTAATCATGTGTTGTTTTCATGCTTTGTTTTCTATCCAATATAATATGTTAAATTATGAGCAATATATTATGAATAATTAAAAATGAATAATTATTGTTTGTTCATTTACTTGTTCAAGATTGATGAAAATTATTTATTTATTCTTTTCTTCAAACTTCTTTTATATTTAAATAAAATTTCATTCTGATAAATTAATCAATAAAATAAATAAACTAATAATTTTACAGACTTTATATTATTTTCAAGGTAGGTCACTGTACTAAGTTCTGCAATATTAATAAATATTAATTATATTTATTTTCATATTATTATTATTTTAATAGTTACTTTTATTTAGCAATTTTTATTTTACTTTAATTAAATATAAAATATAAAACGTAAAATAAAAATAACAAAACTTTATTGCAGATACAATGGTCTGTACTGGTTGTTGTGCAACACTTGATCATATTGTAACTTATATATTTAAACAACTATATCAAAAAGGTATTATTTATTTACTATATTATATATGTACATTAATGTATTTAAATACAACATATATCTTTTTGTCAGGGGGATATCCAGGAAGAAAAAATGCGGTAGTTTCAGGAGGTGGAGATTTATTCTTACAAGTTCTGAAACAACATCCTGAAATTCTTCAGCAAATGTTAAGTACTGTTTTAAATGTGATAATGTTTGAAGATTGTAGAAATCAATGGAGTATGTCACGCCCTCTCTTGGGATTAATTCTTTTAAATGAAGAAGTAAGTACATTTTATTTCTTATATTATAAAGATCATATTAATAAGTTCATAAAAAGTTTGTGATTTTGCACCAAAATTAAATACTTATTATTACAGTATTTTAATCAATTACGAGAGAATATTATTAGAAGTCAACCAGTTGATAAGCAAGCAACAATGGCACAGTGGTTTGAAAATTTAATGGAAGGGATTGAAAGAAACTTACTCACAAAAAATAGAGATAGGTAATAAAAATTCAAAGAAAAAGTAGAAAATTATATGATAATATTTATCCATGTTTATGTATGTATTTCTTTTTTCTTAGGTTTACACAAAATTTATCGTTATTTAGAAGAGATATAAATGAAACTTTGAAAGGACTTAATACAGCTTCAGATCCTATTAGTGATATTTTAATCTTCAGTTAGATTTTCTTAGGTTCTTGCCTGCCAAATGCTTGAATGTGTGTGCGAGTGAATTATAAATTATCGTGGATTTAAAATTATGGTTTTAGATGAGTATAAAGATAATAAATTAAGTACTGTTGTTTCACAGAAGCATTATTGCTTGGCTTCCTATTCTTTATAATATTTTACTTTTGTTTCTTAAATATATCGAATTTAATTATTTCAAAATTTAACATATTGAAATCCAAGTTTCATTTTTCAGTTATATATATATAAAGTTTACATATTTCATCCTAAATTCATAAATAAAAAAGACTAAATCCTTATTACCTTTATACTCTTATTACATTGATTTAATGTGATATAAAATTAATAAATATTCGAGCATATTTTAAGTATAAAAAATGATTGGTAACAAACATGTCAAAATTCAGAAATCAATAATTAGTGCATATTAAGCAAATTTGTATAACAAATTAATTGGATTTTATTGTCTTTAACGGGTGTTTACGTCATCACTTTAAAATAATAATACCTTATGTTAACATTAAAGCATCTATTTCAAACATGAATGATTTGTTTCATACTACATTTTAGTAAAAATTTAAGTTTCAGTGCCAAGGAATATCTTTTTACGTATATTATTCCTAATATATATATATATACACTTGCACCTTATTTTAAATAAACAATAAATTATCATGTTAATTGCTAAACAATATTTTAAAACTACAGCCTAGAATAGGAAGCCAACTGCATAAGCATAACTATTATCCTAGATTTTATTTTATTATTTTTACACGCAACCAACTTCCCTTCATTTAAATATTTCATTACTAAAATATTTTTTACTACATATAAGTTTAAAATCATTTTATAAATTAAAAAAAAATTTATAAGTCATTGTCAAATATTGTTCAATCACTGGTATTATTTTACTGAAAAGTTAAATTGTTTAAATGAATATTATTGAATAAATCATTCATAACATTAATAATATCACAGAAAATATCATTACACTGCATAATTTGCTTACAAATAGTATCTTACAATATATCTCGTTATTATTATTGTCATCATCATGATTATTATATTATTATATTATTATTATTATTATCATCATTATTATTAAATTACAATATTCATTAATAGTTTATTAAAACAAAATGCTGTTACATATACCGCAATAAGTGTCTTTTGACTGTCAACATGCATTTTTAAGTCAAATACATAGTTTTGTAATCATTTTTAATATTCATATTTTATGTTTGTAAATCAAAACCAACGAAATTTCTAACAAATTTTTATACTGTGTTTGTGAAAAATATATACGTATAAGTACATACAGTAAAGATATTCATAAATCAATTATGTTTTATTTAATAAAATGCATGTTAATAGGAAAAGAGACTAAAAAGTATAATACCTTTAACTAATATAAAATATACTACTATAAAGTAATCTTATTAATTTAGAATCTGAATTTTTTAATCACTTCGCGTACATTTTACTAAAACTTCTTTTATGAATTTGCAGTTTCAAAAGAAACACAACATGACAATTTCAAAAGAAAATTTAGAAACAAAAAAATAACTTTATTTTTTTTTCAATCAATTCTTTTTTTATTCAAATCATAAAAATTTTATCAATAATTAATAAAAATTAAATATATCTTAATATAGTACATATTCATAAATATTTGTGTAAAATTTGAAATTTAATTACATAACATATTTGAAATTTAATTACATTTTTGTTTGAGCCAATTGTCAGATGAATATATTTTTTTTTTTTTTTTTTTTTTTTTTTTTTTTTTTTTTTTTTTTTTTTTTTTTTTTTTTTTTTTTTTTTTTTTTTTTTT